ACAGACCAGATAGGTTGGACAGAGATACAGCTCAGAGGACCCCCTGTACAGGGTCCACAAAGAGAGAATGACCTCTCTCAATATCTGTAAGCCTTAAAAAAAACACAGGTAGGCATGCCAAGTCACTGCTAATGTCTACAGTCTTTTGGAACAAGACCACCTATCCAGTTGACCAGGTGAACATACATTGCCATTGGCCATCGTTGAAGGGCAATCTATCCTGGATTCTCTACCTCTTCCTGGAATTCTCTGAATGTTCTTCCTTCAAGGAGAGAAAGCAGTTCTGAATAATGGTTGGCAATTAAACAACTCACTGGAGGTGGTGTTTCCACAAATATCCTGCTACATTGTTGACTGAATGAGGATTGATCCACTGGCTTGATAGTTATGGTTGAGTGGGGAAGGAAGAGGCATATTGTACTCGAGTAGGATTATGCTGCTGCCGATGGCGCACAGCACTTCATGGATGCCCAATTTTGAGTTGTTAGATTTATTCTAAGTCTGTCCCATTTTCCACAGTGATATTGCAACACAACACGATGCAAGTATCATCAATGTGACGGCAGTATTTTATCCCCACAAGGACTGTGCAGTGGTCACTCTTACTAATACTATCTTGGACAGATGCATCTGCAGCCAGCAGATTGGCAAGGACTTGTTGGTTCCCTCAACACCTGCTGCAGACCCAGTCTAGCAGCAATGTCCTTTAGGATTCGATCAGCACAATCAGTAGAGCTGCTGCCAAGCCACTCTTGGTGGTGGACATTGAAAGTCCCCACCCAGAGTACATTCTGCACTTTTGCCAACCTCAATGCTTCCAAGTGCTGTTCAACAGGGAGTAATACTGATTGATCAGTCAAGGGAGGACAGTACATGGTAACCAGAAGGAGGTTTCCTTGCCCATATTTGATCTGATGCTATGAAGGTCATTGGGCTCATCTTTTACCCATATTACCACATGTACAACTTATTTCTAACACCCAGAGTTAACATGTATTATAGATGGTATTACTGTTCAAATGTTGTATAGTAAAGCTTATTGTTTTGTTCAAAACTATGGAATCACATGGTTTTGTTCTTTTAGTAAGTCCACTGTGTCTCTCTCTTTGTCCACGTTAATAATAAAAATCACTGGTCCCTAGCCAAATCATAGCATAAATTTGGCAGTCTGGTCCAGGAGTTCTTATTTAAGTTGGATTTAAATTCTTATTGCTTGTGGCATGATAATCTGATCTGCTGGTACATGAAACTGAAACATGATTAAACAATTTAATGTGAATAGGTCTTTTGATTTAGAAGTGAACTTTCAGGATCTTGCCAATGGTCACGTACGAGTCTCTCAAACACAAGTTTACTGGAGATTAAAGACTAAAGAATTATTTATCAGTATTGATTGTGTACCAACTTGTGGTCAAGCACAAAAACTAGAGATAAATAATGTACGCCAAGTTTGCAACACTTTTTAATAAGACATGTTTACCATGGGCAGGTGATGCCATATATTTAAATTTGAAGTAAAAAATTAGTTAAATCTTTGTTTTCTATAAATATTTTCTTGAAAACAATGCAACTACATATTTACTGACTATCCATTTTGACAAATGCACTGTCATTTCATCTGCTCCACAAATGCAAACTGCATACAGTTTTCTGAACGTACCAGTATCACAGAGTACAGCTATTTTTCCTTCAAAGTGTGACTGCTCACTTAAGGCATTAATTCAGAAAGAAGATCCATGCTTCTAACTTTTTCAAACATTTGTAATATTAGCAGATAATGGAAGAGTGCCAATTGACCAGATGAAATCACTCTTATCTATGACCTAGAAATGCTCCACTAATACAAGTTAGGTTATCTTACCAATTATCTGATTTTCATAATTAGGAGATGTATTACAGAGATTAAAATGCAACTACTAAGTAATGTAATGAATCCTAGTTACAATAGTTAGCAAGTGAACAGGATGCACAGTGCAGCGCATACCTCCACAACTCTTCTTTAACTTAATGCAATTACAATTGCACAGTTCTTCTGTGAAGCTTTTCCCTATCTGGTTGATGCTCTGTAACTACAACATGGAAAAAAGTAATAATGTTTATTAAGAGCTTCCATCTCACTGAGGAGGTGTCAAGTCAATTTGTAACCAACAACCTGTGCTACAAACGCTACTCACATTTTGACAACTATGACAAATCGTACCACAGCAGTTAAGACAATTACAAAATTCTAAAACAATTCTTAACATTTAAAAAAAAACTCGTTCATGCTATCCATTAATGTTAACTGGTCCTATAAAAGGTTTCAGTATTCAGATCTGCTCCTAAAACTAATCCGTTCTTCCCTGGTCCAAACCCTATCATATATGACCCATGTTCAAATTTTGTTAAAATCCTTCCATTAATTTTGAGACATATTGTTTATAAACAAGGTGAGAACATTGCATCAACCAACTTTCGGTGACAAAGATAACTAATCTTCAGTTAATTCATTAGTGAAAAAAGTCAGTTTAGTCAATTCCTAAAACATCCAAAATGTTTATTTTTGGACTATAAGGATTCTGGTTTTACCGTAGCAAAAGTATTGCAGATGCTAGAAATCCAAACTAAAAATAGAAAATGCTAGAGAAATGCAGCTGGTCTGGCAGTATCTGTGGTGAGAGAAAAACAAAGTCAACACTGAGTCCAAAGACACAGTTCCAAAGTAGAGTATTTGGATGCGAAATGTTAACTCTGCCGACCAACCACAACATCCATAATTCTGCTATAACAAGGTGTGGAGAGTTTTCTGAAGATGGGTCCAGACCCGAAACTTCAGCTTTCCTGCTCCTCTGATGCTGCCTGGCCTGCAGTGTTCATCCAGCTCCACACCTTGTTATCTCAGACTCCAGCATCAGCAGTTCCTACCATCTCATCCATAACTCTGCTTCCTTCTTCACAGATACTGCCAGACCAGCTGAGTTTCTTTGGCACTTTTATTTTTATTTCTGGTTTTATTGTATCTTTTATAAATTAACTACGTATGGCAGGACTTTTTGTATGATGGGGTTTTCTGCCCACCACCCAAAAAGTTAATGTGGAACACATAGCCAATCTTAGCAGCCCTGCAGCCATTTTAAGCTCTATGGAGTGTTAATTGACTGGAGACAGAACTTCTCCACATTCCGGTAGAAGTCCAACCTCAAAAGGGCTGCTAGCCAATTTGTGTTGCTACATTTAGTGATTTATAAATTTTAATCATGTGTAATCTAATGCCTCACATTTCAATCACCCTGACTAGTGATGTTGCATGTTAATGATCTTGTGCATTGATTAATGGACAATAGCAAAATTATTTGTGCTGCAGTGTTTTTCCATTCTGCTGTATTAATGTGAGAGTCTATGCAATATGACATGCTTTCCTTAAGTCATTTTTAAAAAAAAGCATTTTTTTGAGCTCAGTATGCTACATTTACTAAAATAAATACAAAGAACTGTGGATGCTGAAAATCTGAAATAAAAACAGTGCTGGAGAAACAAAAAAGATCTGGTGCAAAAACAGAGATAATGTATTGAGTCCAAGTACTCTTTGTCAGAGCTACACTTAATAAGAGTAAATGTAGCATACATGTAGCAGAGGTTTGGAAAATTGAACTCTTTTGCAATTTCAAATTAATTCATTACCGTTTCTCCCATTTCATTTGACTTTGCTTTAGAAGGAAGTAATATAAGGTGTTTACGCAACCTACCATAATGAAATCATGTACTCTGTTGTGTCTTTTTGGTATTAATCCTTGGCAATTGGTTTCTGTTTTAGAATCAGTTTTTAAAGCACTGCATATCCAATTTAACGAGTTCTTTATTTGACAGGTCATTCAGACAGAGGAACGTAAACAAATAAATCACCAAAACTAACAAACCATACATTTAAACCAATAAATTTCATGGCTTAAATTCACCTAAGCAGCAAAGTGAACTGACTGATGCAAAAAAAAGTTAGCAAACGAAAGCAAACTTTTGATAACTGTAAAATTTTACATACCAATATTGTAAACCATTTTGGAAAACAAATTGCCTTTATTTTCTAAATTGCATGGTGATTTAGAACACTGAAGTAGTTGAAAACTAAAAACAATGAAAAGATGATCTTAAAGTAATTAAAAATTTAAGATCAAAATGAAACCAAAATCATGAATAAGGCAATTTTTGAAATGGTATAGTATTCTGATTTTCCTACTACCTCAAAGGGATCAAATTTGCAATTTGATTTGGGAATTTATTTTTAAAATTACCTGCTAGATTTAAAACTTACCTATACTTAATTGTTGAGAATTTACAAAAGAAAGACAAGTTACAAATCTTGTATTCAAGATGAAAATAAATACAAGAAAGGGCACAAAAAGACCAACTGGCTCATGAAGTCTATTCTATGCAATCAAGGTACATCTTTTGTGACCCCATTTCTCTCAACTTCGCTTCCCCACAATATTGTGGGACAGAAAATGAAATAGAAAATACACTCAAACTAAATGATGCAAAAGTAAGCTGTTCTCCGACACTGCCTGCCCCCACCCCCGTCAAAAAGTATCAAACGAGCTCCAGAACACTTAATGCTGCTAATTACAGTCGCCAGATATTGGTAATGGTATTCAAAAGTGTTAGAAGCAAATGGCAAAATGCTATGCTACATTCTTATTGAAGCAAAGTTATTAACACTATTACAATTTGTAGTTTGATTAGATTGATTAATGTGAAAATCTAAAGAATATGAAGCTGAATATATTTTGATTAAATTTTTGTTCTTATTAAGTAACAATAAACAATTGTATTTTGGTCAACCTATCCTGACAGATATTGTACACTTCATCTTCGGAAAATATTTCATTGAAGCTATTGTAAGTCAACAAATACAGAAGAAACATTTAAGCAAGCATGCACACAACTACTGGACAAGAAGCCACAGCACATTATGGACCACAAATGTCTAGTGTACGAACAATGCAATAGATGCAGTTCAAACCCACCTATCCGACAGATCTAGGGACTGCCTACTTTCAAGGGAATACTGACGACTGGTTAGCCTGCTAGAGTCTGACGCAGTCTCTAGATCACTGCGTCCATTTGTGGCAGAATCTACGCTATCATAGCGTCTACCAGAGAAAGTGGAAAGCACAAAGAGGAAGATCGTGAGGGAAAATTAAAAATACCAAAAAGTACTGTATACATTTTTATTGCATACACAACTGAGACAACTGTGCTTTATGGATCAGGATATAAATTTAAAATTACTTAAAATCTTTAGTGAAGCCAATGGGTTAGACAAACAAAGGAAGTTGGGGGTGTTGTATCAAAGAATTAGTTGTTCAACTATCACATCATTCTGCAGCAAAAACACCTAAGGAGGGCTTTCATCACCCAAACATGTAGATTTAACTTCTCAACTTTCATGTTAGAGATGCTTAGTCAAGTTTATTATGCAAAATGGATAATTTTGCTCATAAAGGGTAAATGCCAAAACAAATTTAATGGTCTAACACCAAGATTCATATTTTGTTTAATCATCACAATTTATCTCTTCTTGCTCTCTATTTAAAAATACAGTAGTCTCAGAACATAGTAAGCAATAGTCTTTCAGTTTCTAAAATACGACCACATTCTGTAAAAACTTTTGATTGACTATCAATTACATAGAAATTAAAAATATAACAATCTGCTATATAAAGATCGCTCACAATAATACACACATGGAATTGTTAATGCAAAGTCTTACTTCAGCATATTCCAGTTAATGGGAACAGTTGCTTAAAGGGCATAATCACAGATGCACAATTTCATGACTGTACAGTGTTCGCTGATAGTGAATGATCGACATAAGAGAATAAGATTGTTCCCATTAAGAGATTTGTTTGTGTATAAAAATTATAAATACATAACAATATACAAATTGATGCTATTTTCCAGTACAGTATATATGTATGTGTTATCTTTTATAAAATAAATTACACATCTTTCCAGTGTCTTGTACAATTATATTCTCTACATCAGACTCTACGAATATTCCCCAAAAATACAATGCTTTCTATCAAAATACCAGTTGAGTAATATTGTTATTCTATGGTTCAAAACAGCCCAAATCTTGTCCCCTTAAATACTTCTACCCGGTTAGTTTCCCAACATTAGCAGAAAATTTACTACATACTGATCTCCAATTGGGGAAAATCAGTGACAACACAGCTCTCCAGTGCAAACACAACCATGAAATTTATTAAATTACTGAATAACACATACATTATATATTATACATTACATCAAATAACAGGGAACCACCTAAGGAAAGCAAAAATCCATTTTTCAGAATTTGAAATGAATTTTAAACTTAATGTGCACTGTAAAAATAATAATTTGCAATATATCACACAAAATCTCTCATACGCGTGTTTAAACTAAGTTATGTCATTAGATCATATCCCAAGTTACCTGCAAGACCAAAATAATTAAAACTGTAAGTTTATAACCCTTATAAACATTAGATTTCAGTATCAAAACCAAGAAGATATAGCACAAATATAAATTGAACAGGTGAACTGCTGAATTATTTTATGCTGCAAGGACAATATCATTAAAAATATTTTTGAAATCTTTTAAATTTACAGCAACCCTATAATACATGAGGGGAGAAAATTAAAATAACATAAGCCTGTTCCACAACTTAATACCCTTATGACTGATCTTCTGTTTCAATTCCAATTTCCTGCCTGCTCCCCAAATCTTTTGATCAGACTTAGACATGCTTATTGGGAGATCTAAAACCATTCTGTGTAGATAATGCCAAAAGATTCACGACTCTCTGAGGGAAGAAATTCTCATCACAGTCCTAAATGATCAAATGAGTCTGCAGTTGCAGTTCCCCAGCCAGGTAAAATAACCCAAGTCCCCATGTTGGTGAGACCCCTTCAGAACGTTCCACATTTCAAGGATATTACCTCTAACCTTCAGAAAGTATAGGCCCAACTTGGTCAGAATCTCAGAGTCATACTGCATGGAAACAGACCCTCTGGTCCAACTAGTCCATGCTGACCATGTTCCAAACTAAATTAGTCCCACTTGCCTGCGTTTAGCCCATATCCCTCCCAATCCTTCCCATTCATGTACTCATCCAAATGGCTTTTAAATATTATGTTTGTACCTGTATCCACCACTTTCTCCAAAAATTCATTCCACACATGAATAACTCACTCTGTAAAAAAAAAAGTCCCTCATTTCCTTTTTAAAACTTTCTCCTCTCACCTTAAAAAAAATTTCCCCTAGTTTTGAACTCCCCCACCCTTGGGAAAAGACCCTTGCTATTCACCTTATCTATGCCTCTCATGAAGTCCCAGCCTATCCCTATAGCTCAAACCTTCCATTCCTGGCAACATCCCAGTAAAGATAACACAGTGTGGAGCTGGAGGAGCGCAGCAGGCCAGGCAGTATTAGAGGAGCAGGAAAGTTGACGTTTCAGAAATGGGCCATTTCTGAAGAAGGGTCCCGACCCAAAATGTCAACTTTCCTGTTTCTCTGATGCTGCCTGGTCTGCTGTGCTCCTCCAGCCTCACACAGTGTTATCTCTGACTCTAGCATCAGCAGTTCTTGTTATCTCTGAACATCCTGGTAAATCTTTTCTGAACTCTCTCCAATTTAATAATATCCTTCCTATAGCAAGGTGACCAGAACTGTACACAGTACTCCTGAATAGGCCTCACCAACGTCCTGTATGATCTCAACATAACATCCTAACTCCTATACTCAAAGAAAACAAAACAGAAATTGCTGGAAAAGCTCAGCAGGTCTGGCAGCATCTGTGAAGGAAAAAACAGAGTTAACATTTCAAGTCCAGTGACCTTTCCTCAGAACTATACTCAAAGGTCTGAGCAATGAAGGCAACCATGCTAAACACATTCTTAACCACAGTCTACCTGTGACACAAATTTCGAAGAATTACGTATCTGAACCCCTAGGTCTCTCTGTTCTACAACACTATCCAGGGATCAACCATTAATTGTACAAGTCTTGCCCTTGTTCTTTTTACCAAAATGCAATACCTTGTACTTATCCAAATTTAGCTCTATCTGCCATGCCTCAGCCCTTTGACCCAATTGGTCAAGATTTCTTGTCATCTTAGGTAACCTTCTTCACTGTTTGCTCTACCACCAATTTCATCAACTGACAAACCATGCCTGCTATATTCTCATGCAAATTGTTTATATAAATGACAAACAAAAGTGGACCCAGCACCAATCCCGGTGGAACACCATTGGTCACAGGCCTTCAGTCTGAAAAACAACCCTCCACCACCACCTTGTCTCCTACCAACCAGCCAATTTTGTATCCAGTTGGCAAGCTCATCACGAATCCTATTTGATCTAACTTTACTGATTAGTCTACTATGCAGAACCTTGTCAAAGGTTTTACTAAAGACCAAGTAAACAATGTCTATCGCTCTTCCCTCATCAAGCTTTTCAGTTACTTCCTCAATAAACTCAATCAACTTTGAGAGACATGATTCCCCTCGCACAAAACCATGCTGATTATCCCTAATCAGTCCTTGCTTCTCCAAACATATGTAAATCCTATCTTTCAGAATCACCTCCGACAGCATACCCACCATCGATGACAGGCTCACAGGTCTGTAGTTTCCAGGCTTCTCCTTACAGCCTCTCTTAAATAAAAGCACAACATTAGCTGCCCTCCAGTCCTCTGGCAACTTAACCATGGTTTTAGGTGATACAAATATTTCTGCTAGGGGCCCTGCAATTTCTTCCCTAACTTCCCACAACATCCTGGGATACATGACTGGTTTCAGAGATTTATCTGCCTTTATGTTTTCTAAGACATCCAGCACGTCCTCTTCTGTAATGCAAACTGTTTTTCAAAACATCAATATTTATTTTCCCAAGTTCTCTAGCCTCAATTTCCTTCTCCATTGTAAAAACTGACAAAATATTCATTCAGTATCTCTCCCATATCCTGAGGCTCAACACATAGATGACCTCATTGATCTTTAAGGGGCCCTATTCTCTCTTTAATTGCTTCTTTGCTCAATGTACTTGTAGAATCGCTTTGAATTATCCTTAACCTTATCTGACATGGCTGTCTCATATCACCTCTTTGCCCTCCTAATTGTCCTCTGAAGAATGCCTCTAAACTCTTTATACTCTTCAAGGGATTCAGTTGAACCCAGTTGTCCATATCTAAGAGATAGTAGGAACTGCAGATGCTGGAGAATCTGAGATAACAAGGTGTAGAGCTGGATGAACACAGCAGGCCAAGCAGCATCACAGGAGCAGGAAGGCTGACGTTTCGAGCCTAGACCCTTCTTCAGAAATGGGGAAGGGGAAGGGGGTTCTGAAATAAATAGGGAGAGAGGGGGAGGCGGATAGAAGATGAATAGAGGAGAAGATAGGTGGAGAGGAGACAGACCGGTCAAAGAGGCGAGGATGGAGCCAGTAAAGGTGAGTGTAGGTGGGGAGGTAGGGAGGAGATAGGTCAGTCCAGGGAGGACGGACAGGTCAAGAGGGCGGGATGAGGTTAGTAGGTAGGAGATGGGGCTGGGGCTTGAGGTGGGAGGAGGGGATAGGTGGGAGGAAGGACAGGTTAGGGAGGCGGGGACGAGCTGGGCTGGTTTTGGGATGCGGTAGGGAGAGGGGAGATTTTGAAGCTTGTGAAGTCCACATTGATACCATTGGGCTGCAGGGTTCCAAAACGAAATATGAGTTGCTGTTCCTGCAACCTTCTCCTGCAACCCATCTCCTACCTATTAACCTCATCCCGCCCCTTTGACCTGTCCGTCCTCCCTGGACTGACCTATCTCCTCCCTACCTCCCTACACTCACCTTTACTGGCTCCATCCCCGCCTCTTTGACCAGTCTGTCTCCTCTCCGCAACTCCGCCCACCGCAGCCGACGCAACTCCGCCCACAGCCAATGCCGACGTTGCTCCGCCCACTGCCTCCACAGCCAGCAGCTCCAGAGGAGACAGCAGCACCCAGCCCTGCCGAGTCTTCACCATCCCCCCCAGACCTCCCCCTTACTGAGGATGAATGGTCAGTCCTCAGTAAAGGGCTCACCTTTGTCCCCCTCCACCCACACATCAACGAATACCGGTCGCGTTT